TGTTCAGTGTTCTCGATTTTACGAAACATAAGTCCAGATTCGGCGCAGTCTGTCGGCATCGCAGCTTGTGCGCAGCGCAATTGCCCTCTAGTTCTTCTTAATTTTCTTCTTGTCTTTCCCTCACTAACGAAAATTCTTTTCTCAACAAAGAAATAAAAAATTTATTTTGTTCGCAAAGTTCTCCTTAAAAAGGTCGACAACAAAATGTGTGAAAAACTCTAAGTCCAACATACATTTTCCGTTAATTTCTTCCATCTTTGGGCACAGAATGTGGATCACTGCTCGAAAAATGAATAAGCATTGATTAACCTCAAGTATATCAAGAACAATATCCCGTTTTTAGAACTTTTCTAAGTAACGTAGTTCTCTCGCTCATGAGGTGCACATTTTACACAAAATAGCGACCAAAAAAAACTAGATTACAACTGTGCTGCGCACAAGTTAACCGATGTTTTATTTCCTTCATTGTATTGCATTCTTGCTTTGATTTACTCTTTGAACTGCTTATAATATAAAACAACAATGAAGGAAATTTGAAAAACAGAGAAAGAAATTATTTTTCGTTCTGACTAAATGGCACCAGACAAAAATAACAATAATTATCTAAGTCCAAAAAACATTTTAGTTCTATTTGTGTAGCTTATGGCGCCGAATCTGGACTTATGTTTAAAAAAAGAACGTGCATTGATCAATCTCCAATGTTGGAAGATTATCTTCTAGTTTTCAGAACTTTTCTACGTAGTGTAGTTCGCTAGATCACGTCGTGCACATTTTGTAAAAAGAATGACTAAACAAAAAAAAAAGAAAATCCCTGCAAAAATGCATAATGTCTGTCGACATAATAATGCAACATTTGCTCTTACTCCTAGTCATAACTCTGAGAAAATAAACAGTGGCGCTGAAAACGTGTCAACCTGTTTCCTGCGCAGATGCCATGATATGTCGATAGCCAAGAGAACTTTCTCAGTTCGTTATATCAATTGATCTGTATATAAAACCGATAATGTTTGAAAAAAACAAAATTTTGATTTAGTCCGATCATATAGTTTGTGCACGAAGAATTTCAAGAAAGAAGAAATTTAAATTTTTAAATTTTCAAACTACATGGGCATAGTATTTTTATTTTGTGTTATTGATTAAAAAATGAGTAAAAGAAAAAAAATATATTTTTTTGTAAAGTGATGTGGATAAAGGAAGCGTACACATCACCTAATTCAACATTTAACGCTCACTTAAACAGGCCACTTAAAGAAGACTATTGATAAGTATGTATTTCTTGTTTACAGGAACTAAATGTTGATGTATATAGCCGAAAAGGATATAATTAAACTGCTTGAATGAATGACTAGTGACTAGTGTATACACGTTCAAAATAGTCAACGGTTTCTTTGTTTATGTGTCTTCTCCGTTCATTTCATTATCATTTTCACACACATAGAACAACCACAAATCAAAAATCAAGTTTTGAAACTTCAAATAAAATTTGTTTGAATTCAATGTCACATTTGTCAACAACTAAATAGAAGAAATTTAAATACTGTCCACTCATAGTATATACTATTCATGATGTAAAAAACACATAATTAGTTTAACAATCAAATTTTCTTTTTCTGTTCTGATTGAGTTCAAAATGAAAGTAGAATATTCTATTGTGGTCATTCTTCGTTGATTATTCTTTAGCTGAAATAATTTGGTGTACGTTAATAGAACTTTTTTATTTTTGTGATAAATCACCTACTTAATTTCCATCATTGGTGGGCTAATGTATGCTGTACAGTTAATATTTTCTTCCATTGTATTTGTGTGCAAATAGTTATTTGAAAATCACGATTTTTCTCTCACAACCACAGGACGTAAGCAAATATAAGAAAAAATTTCGCATCAATTTCTTGTACACACATTCAGGCGAAATGGAAAAAAAAAAACTTCAGCAAAACATGCTCGATTAAAAACAACACCTACTTAAAGAGATTACATACAACAAATGACGTATGCTAATAAATTTGCATTTTTTATTTTCTATTTTTTAGTCAGTTATATTTTGTATAAATATTCTCGCAAGATAAAATATTAAGTATAAAATATAAAGAAGAAAAGGAATCAACCAACAGCACAGGTATTGCAAAAAAATTATAATTGATCAAAATATCATATGAATAAGTGGAGCAAAATAAAAGAGAAGCTGTAATTCAATATCGATTAGACTGCCTCTTATAATCAGGGACGAAGACAACTAAAACAATAATTGAACATTTATTATTATTATATTTTCCTATTTTAGACGGGAAAAAAAAAATGTTTCATGTGCCACGATGTTGTCATCGATGTGCATGTGAATGTTGTTTAACCGAAGAAGAACGAATTAATAGAGACATTGATAGAGAATTACGTCAGTTACGACGAAAAAATTTGTATGAACGAAAACTTCTGCTCCTCGGTAATTAAATGAACGATCTATAAAATATTGATATTTATTTTTCTTAAATTTTTTAGGTAACACCGAGGCAGGAAAGTACGTATATTCAAATGTTTCATAGCACTTTCGTCACCATACCCTTTCGTCATCGGGTAACGCTTTCATCACATGATAAAAGTTCTGTTTTTCGGGACAAAAGTTCTTTCGGCATGTGACGAATGTTTTAGCCATGTTTACATAGTAGTTACGAAAGTTAACCCTTTTTTTGATGAAAGTTCGTTTTCGGTTGGGACGAAAGTGTCGGGTTTTTTAGATATGTGGCACAGCACTTTCGTCACACGTCGATGAAATCAAGATTGTAGTGCAAAATTCATTAGTCCAGAGTGTAGTAGTGCAAACTCGAGTAATAACTTCTTGCTTTTTCCTTTACAAACATTGGATTTTCCCAGCGAAAGACATGAAAAAAACCTCTTCAAGTCTTTTTCTAAAATTAAAGTATCAAAATCAAGCATCTATTGCGTTTGGGAGTAGTTCGGTTTTCCACACTGCAGCAGTCCAAACGTAAGCAGTCCTTTTATAATCAATAAGAATAGTATATAAATGTGAGAAAAACGGTAAAATAAAGCGTTGTAGTACACATGAACTTTCGTCACACGTTATAACACGTTAGTTGCCGGTATGTTATTAGTGCGGCTAAAGTTCTTTTTGGATTGTGACGATAGTTTTAAGTATGTTACACAGTTGGTTACGAAATATCACCGCTTTTGTAATGAAATGTAGGGTGGTAATCCTCTCCCTCACATGTAACGAAAGTTCTTTCTCCTATGTGACGAAAATTAACGTATCGAAAGTGCTGTCACCCATTCAATTCAATCTAAAGATGAAATTTCTATTGTCGGTTGTCATATTAATATGTTACTATTTAGATCAACATTTCTTAAACAAATGAAATTAATTCACGGACGAGGTTTTAAACCTGATGAAAAACGGCGAACAATTCCGTTTATTTACGGACAAATAGTATACGTTGTCAAATGTATAATTCGTGCCATGAGAAAATTGAAAATTAGTTTTGAAAAACCGAAAAATGAGGTAGTTATTTTAGAAGGAAAAGAAATAAAATTATCGATAGACTAATTTTGTAAAATTATATTTTTAGGAATATGCTCGTTTGTTAAGTGTATCAGATGACTATGAGCCAGTATCATCGTTTGCTCCAGGTTTGGTTGCTGCAATTAAAAGCGTATGGCAGGATGAGGGAGTGAAAGCGTGCTATAATCGTCGAAGAGAATACAGATTAACAGATTCAGCAAAATAGTATGACTATAAAAACAAGATTTTTAGATAAAACTATGAACATTATTTTATATTTTTATTTTTAGTTTTATGGATGATATTGATCGTATTTCTCATCAAGATTTTCAACCAACCGATGATGATATGTTGAGAGTTCGTATACAAACGACAGGCATTGTTCAAGAAAATTTCAAATTTGCCCACGTTGAATTAAAGTATAGTTTACTGACAATTGACATAATTTTTTATTCTCTGTTTGTTTGTGATATTGAAGAGTGGTCGATGTTGGTGGACAAAAAACTGAACGACGAAAATGGATTCATTGTTTCGATAATGTTACATCCGTCATTTTCTTAGCATCATTGATCGAATACGATCAGATGGTTGCAGATGAACCAAATGTAAGAATATTGTTTTTGTATCGTATAAAACAAATTTGAATGTGGTAAAGTTTTGTATTGAAAATATCTCTTATGTTACGCTCTCTAGGAAGGTTCAGCAATAACAGTAATGGAAGAAACTAAAGCATTATTTCGTATTATTTTACAAACAGAATATTTTCAGAATGCATCAGTTATATTATTTTTAAATAAAACTGATCTATTTCAAGAGCATCTACTCGTTTCACCCTTATCGAAAGCATATCCAGAATATAAAGGTATTATTAAAAATTCTTTTAATACTTAGTGTATTTATTGTAATTTTTTTATTTGTTTCTAGGAGATGATCATGATGTTAAAGTTGCTCAACAATTTATATTAGACATGTATTTATCGTTAATTCCAGATGTTTCTCGAAATAGCGAGAGAAATGTTTATCCACACTTTACATGTGCCACCGATAGTAAAAATATTCGAATTGTATTTGAATCAGTTAAAGATACCGTGTTGGCAAATAATTTGTATTATTGGACACCATTTTAATATTATCATCATCATTCATCTTTATCTCAAAGGCTGTTATGTCAGATGTATATTTTAAAACGTTAAACATATCTTGTTCCATTTATAAGAGGAACTTATCTTACAATGGTTCGTGCTGTTACGACAGACTCCTATTCTCTACCAATAAAGTGTTTAAATGTATCTCTATGATATTTATAACTAAAAATGTATAATAAAATATTGTATTGTTATAGGTTTATTAACATTAATATTTAACAAACTTGAAAAGACAGACAGCAGTATTAAAACGAAAAGCTGCAGAACAAGCAAAAACATTTAGGGCTCTATTATTATTCATGGATATCGTCACAAGTTGATATAATCAATAAATTAAAAGTTCAATTAATTTTTTTTTCTTTTAATCGGAAACAATAGTTTTTCTGTTGTGAAGTATCCACTCTCTCAAAACTCCATCGCCGATGTTTAAATAGAAGAGTTGTTATGGTATTTTAGCGATTTCCTTCATTTGTTAACAAAAATTAGCTCTAAGGAGTTTTTGAAAAACAAAAGCATACATTCTATGCACACCGATCGAGAAAGGGTATACCAGTAGCTTGTAATGATGTTTCGCCACAATAACTATGTCCATTTTTTTTCAAGAAAAAACGCAAATAAGGTTGATTCTGTTAAATGTGTTTTACTTAAAAATTGTTTAACCGTTAAATAACTTGTTGATACTTTGCTGTAGCTTATCGGCCATGGTGGATCTAATGGACATGTGCACGGACATGTGCGGCACATGCATGCGCATATGTAATACAAAGTGCAAAAAGCCATTTTTTTTCTGTAGGGATATTGGAAAACTCGCTCAAAACCTATCCTATTGACACAAAAATTATGCCATTAGAAAATTGACACTTTGGGCTATCCAACTATGTGGTTTTCTCAAAGTCGATGTTTTTGACGAAAATCGGCATTTCTGCCCGAGGGGGGCCTTAAGTGAGCTACTTTTCGTTAGCAATCAGTTTTTGTCGTTCGTTAATTTGTGCACAAGCTATCCCGATCACTTTTTCGAGGGTATTTCGAGTACTCGAAACACGCTTTGGATAGGCCCTCGCCGAGGGCTCGACACCTCGAAAAATAAGACTTCGGACCCTCGATATAAGAGTTCGAGGGATTATCGGTTTCGAGCCCTTAGGATTCAAATAGGTAGTGAGCCCTCGAGAAAAATTCCGTGCCGTAGAACAGAGAAGTTCGGGATCCAAGCAAAGAAAAGACTTCCGAGTCTTCGCCGCATCCTCGGGCGACGAGGGCTACCCGGTTTTCTAGAAAAACTGGTAATCTTAAAATTTCTTTCAGAAGTTTCTCAACTATATCATTGGATAGCCTCTTCAAGTCTCCGCAAAATGAGATGCCGGCCAAGTTTCTACGATGTTGGAGAACCGAGTTACCGGCTTTTTAACATCACGTATATAAATTCATTTTCTATGACAATTTCTGACACAACATCGTAGAAACTTGGCCAGCATCTCATTTTACGGAGAATTGAAGGGTTTATCCAACGATATGGTTCAGAAACTTCTGAAAGAAATTTTAGGATTACTAAGTTTTCTAGAAAACGGGTTTTTCAGAAATCACTATCTCAAGCACCCGAGGTGTAGCATAACGTTTCTTCATCCAAATATATAGAACTCGACGCGCTCTTTCATTTGATACCAACTTCAAGATTCTACGTTAGAGAATGTGGTCAACAGATGTTCTACACGTTAAGCCAAAACCGCCACTGCAAGGGTAAAATGGCTATAACTTTTTTTCTAACAAAGCCAGAGACTTGCGGTTTTCACCATTCGGTTCAGCGTGCTAAGCTCTATAAGATGAAGTAGTTCTCATTACTGACGTCAAAGGTCGATGTAAATGGTGGTAGGTTTCATATGGATTGAGCCTATCCGTCGATGCCGAAAACATCACTCTCCAGTAGTAATATCCGAAAAAGTGAGTGTTCACACTTTCAACTAGAAAACCTTATCAGCCATTTTGTAGAGTTTTGAAAGATTTCTGCTGATACATATTGTTATTGCAGACAGCAATCTGAGTTCTTTCACGGTGAAAAAATAAAAATACTATCGTGGACTATGCTGAAAAGATCATTTTTAACAGTAAAAATGTGGGTGTTCGCAGTGTATATAACAATTGAGCAATAGATACTTTTGTTCGCCGTTTAAAGCTGCATCGAATGGTATATCAAAGCTAATCCATTTTCTTACAGATATCAAATCCGAAGAGAAACCAGGGGTCTTGAACACCATAAAATCATATGCACTTTCATTCCAGACATCTTTCGAGAAGATCTGAAATGAGGCCGATTCTCGTTCTTATTGCACCCCGTCCTTTGTCATTCCCGAATAAGATTTAAGAGAAAAATTTCAGTTCTACCTTTCCCATAGAACTTAAGCTCGAAAATTATTTTGAAGAAAACGTTGCCAAAGATTTCACTCGAGGGAAGGAATTTAAAAATCGAGTTAAGGACGTTAAAAAATCTCCCGCTCATATTCCAGAGAATTCGATTCTGAACAACTTTTGCTCCAAACTCTTTGGCAACATTTTTTCCAAAATAATTTTAGACCTGAAATTCTATCGGAAAGATAAAATTTAAATTTCTCCCTTAAATCTTATTTGGGAACGATAAAACTTTTCTGTCGAATGTCGAAAAGAGGTCTTCATCTTGAAAGTATAAATTTTACTTAAATTTTTTAAAAACAAAGAAAAAAAACTTAAAGAAAAGGTTTTGTCAAAAACTACCCTACCTCCTTAAACCGTGGTATTCATCGGTTTAAATTTATAAAAGAATAAGAGATATTTATTTTTCTTGCTCAACACGTGAACTTTGTGATCTTACAAGTTTAAATCAGAACTTTTCATACAGAAACATGAGTATCAACTAGAGATGTGCAATCCGATCACTTGTACGTGGGTATCGTTAGAGTTTTGAAATTTCTTCATCTACAAAGCATGAGTAATGAAAACATTTTTTTTATAACGTTCATGTCTAGCTATCTTTAAAGAACTTCGGTGACTGAAAAGATCATTTAACTAAAGACTTTTTGATAGAGAAATGGCTAACGGATGTGCCATTTTGTGCTAAGGAAAATTTATAAAATAGAAAAGTTTCTTATCCGGATTACATCCATATTGAATCTTTGTACACAAAAGAGCTTAATTACAATCGACCAATTTATATTTCTAATACAAGTATTTCGATTTTGTCTTTGTCGGTAATACCTCTTGTTTCTCAAGCTTCTAACAAATTATCTATAACTGATTTTATATGGAGATGAGAACAATAGACATCGCTTTAAGCATTTTGAGACGTTTCGTACTTTATTCTAAGTACATCATCAGTCAAATGACGTTACAATTAAAAAAGGACAGTTAAATATATAGGAAAACGAAACAAGGCCGACGGAACGATATATGAAATAAACTTTACTCATTTAGTAGACGTAGACATTTCTTTT